GCCCTGTATCCCTCATACAACTCCGCCTCTCTCGCCTCCGCATTTGGAGGACGGAGACGGCGCCTGCGGTGCCTAGTGTACTGGCGTCGCGCAGCAGTGCACGCCTTGCGTAAAGCTGCCAGCTCTTGCGACCACCAGTACACCTGGCGCTTTTGTTGCCTCGACCGGATCCGGGGCATCGCCACGTCACAGATCCTGGACATGGCGTCCTGGAGCCACTTGGCCTCATCGTCAATGTCGGCAGGCCTGACCGGTGGTATCACCCAGGCCTGCACGATGGCGGCTTCCAGGAGCAGCTCCCGGTCCAGCTGTTTCAGCGCCCAACGCGGGCCACATGGGGCCTGTCTGACCGGCGGATCCGCGGACTCGGCGGAGACGTTGAACCGGATATACCGGTGGTCGGAGTACGTCTCCACCTCCTCCATGACACGCCAGTCAACGATACGGGTGACAGAGCAGGGCTGGCGAACGAAATGTCCACCACCGACTCGCCCTGCATCCGCACGCACGTAGGGACAGAACCCCGGTTCAAGACGACTAGGCCTGCCTCAAGGGCCCAGTCTTCCACCATCCTACCCCGGACGTCGGTGAACCGGGAACCCCAAGCCAAATTCTTGGCATTGAAGTCCCCGAGGACGAGCACGGGGAGGGAACGGAACCCGACGACGACTGTGACCAACTCCATCAAGGAGTTGTGGAACTCGGCGAGAGTTCGGTTCGGAGAGAAGTACACGCCCACCACAGCGAGCTCTCCGAACCGTGCTGCGACACAACCCCGGCCTCTTTGAGCTGCCTCAAGAGTCGGGGTACCGGCGGCGGCCGATGAGATGATGGTCACCGAGCCGTCCAGGTCCGCCACCCAGTGATCCCTGGGCGGGACAAAGTACGGCTCGGAGACCACGGCGACATTGATCGACCACTGCGCCATGCTCTGGAGCAGGAGATCCTGAGCAGCGGCGCAGTGGTTAATATTCGCCTGGAGGAGGCGGAATGGAGCCATTATTGACAGTCCATTCCGATCTCCTCAGTAGCGGCAGCGGCGACTGCGGCGGCAGTGGCGGCGGCGGCGGCGGAAACGGCAGGGGTGGCGGAGGGCCTACCTTTGCCCTTGGGTTTGGCAGGAGGGGAGCAGCCCTTGCTCCCGACCCGGTGATTGGCCGGCTTGCCAGCCGCCGCACATGCGTTGCAGTGCAGCGGGGCAGTGCAGGAGCCGGCCCTGTGACCGGGCCGACCGCAGCGGAAGCAACAGTCGCTGCGGTCCACCTCTGAGGTGCATTTGGCGCTCACGTGCTCCCCCACGTGACAACGGTAGCACCTCAGAGGCCGGGTCTCGAGCAGCTTTACCTGCGCCGAGACCCATCCCACCAAGAGCCTTTTGCCCTCCTTCAGCTTCTTGGCCGCTGTGACGGGGCAGCTCACCACCACCGTGCGCAGCCCCGAGTTGTCCGGACGGATGGTGCCCGCCTTGATCTGGTCAGCAGGGCACCCTCCCGTCCTGGCCACAGCGGCCACCACCTCACTTTCCGTGACGGAGTCGTCCAGGCCCAATATCCGGACATCCACACATTTGGTGGGCCTGGACACGCGGGCCTCGTCTGCCCCGAGGCACGCCCTAAGCCTCTCAGCCAGGGCGTCGGCCGACGGGCCACTGGCCGCGCCGGGGACCTCCAGTAGACGGGCTCCGGTAGCGGTCACCTTGACCGCAAACCCGTCCGGGGCCCCGAACTCCGCAGGTGTTACCGCCCCCTTGAGCTTGGCGAGGACGTCACCATAGGTAACGCCCCTATTGACCGCCTCGGGCTGCAGTGTAATAACTACAGCCGCGGTCTTAGGGGCGAGGAGCAAGGCAGCAGCGCGTTTCTCCCTGCGCTGCTGCTGCCGTCGCTGCCGCTGCGCCTTTTTGCGGCGCTTTCGGCCCTCCCTGGCGACTCTCCTCGCCTCGCCGGCGATTTGCCAACCGCCGCCGTCCTCCACTCGCGGGGCGGGTTCTGCCGCCGCTGCTGCAACTCCAGCTTGCCGGGCTGGAGTGTCCCTCCTCTTTTTGCGCCTCATGGGCGCAGGCGCCATCGGCGCAGCTGGGGTCTGCGCCGGCGGGGGCGCCGAGGGCCTCGCGGGAGGAGGCGCCCGCGCCTTTGCCGGCGGTTGGGGGCCGCGGCCAGCCTGACCAGTGGAGGTCGGAGGCTTGGCCACAGCAGCCGCGTATGAGCCCGATGCCGCGGGCGGGGAGGCCCGGCTCGATGCGAGCGGGGGGCGCAAAAGCCTGCCCTCCAGCACGTCAAAACGTCGCTGGAAGGCAGCCATCTCCGCTCGCAGCAGTCCGACTACGTCGGACTCCGCCGGGGGCTGGGGGTGACTGCCGCGAGCAGCGGCGAGCTCGGCCCTGGCCGTCCGCAGCTCGGCCTCCAGGGCCGCATTGGAGGCCGCCAAGCGCGCCAGCTCCCGCCGCATCTCGCCCAGCTCGGAGCGCACCTTTTCTGCAGTGGGCACCGCGCACTGCTCCAAGGCTGCCTCCGTAATAGTGGCCACCGCCGCCCTGAGGAGGGAGAGCCTAACCGGCTGGGATTTCCCCATAGCCAGTTTATGGAGCACCTCCGTGATGGCCTGTCGGAGGTGCCCGGAGCCGCTCGCGCTCTCGGAGCCCGACTCGCCCTCCGAAACCTCCACGCCGGACATCTCGGCTGCGGAGGACTCTGAACGGGCAGCGCTCGAGAGAGCCCTGCCCTCCGCAGCCAGCTGCTCGGCTGACTCCACGCAGGCAACTGGTGCCGGTTTCCGGCGACCGCCGCCCTTGCCGCCCCTACCCCGCGCCGCCGTTGGGACTTTAGGGGGAGGCGCCTGCGCGCCGGAGGACGGGGACGAAGCGTCCTCCTCCAGCCTGGGACGCTTAAACGTCCCCGTCACGCGACGGCGTGAGCCCTTCGAGCTCACGCTCAGCCGATCCGCCAGTGATGTGTCGGACTCAGGGTCCGACACCATCGTAATTGATGCCCGTGTGTGGGGCATGCTAGATGTGTCCAGCGTCTCCCCACGGGCGCCAGAGCCCCTTGGGCTCCCCTCTACTACGTCTGCAGGTGAGCCAAGCTCACCCGCACTCTCCTCCTCCGACAGTTGTGGTTTTGTTTTTTTAGATTTTACTTTCTCCATACAGTTCCCACGAGTATGGGGGAAATATTCGGTCCACCCAGGCAGTGCCCCCTGTACCTGGGTAAGTGTTAATTTGTTTCCCAACTAGAGGTTCCACTGGTCCCCTAGCTGGGGGTGCGCTCGCGACTGACACTACTCCTCAGCCATGCATACTCTCGCCGCGCACCAGAACTTAGTATTGGAGGAATTTTTTATAGAGGTTATCTTCCTCGCGGTCCGGGCGACCAAGCCAAGACCCTCGTCCCGTTCAGAGTCACAAAACATGACCGTGACCTCCTTACGGGTTACGATATCGACGGCTGCAATCGGGGACAGCTTGTGTCCCGACGCTGCTCGCTGGCAGGGTGAGTGCACAACGAGCACCGCCCTTGCCTCTACGCCACGCTCTCTGCTATGTCCAGAGAGACGGGCGGAGAAACGCCCCTCGGAAGCGCGGGCTATGAGCCTCCGCACACAGCCCGCCGCCTCCAGAACCCTATCGGGTTCGCCCGCCCAGTCCAGAAGTCTGCTGCGGGCGACAGTCACTCCAACCCTATCACCCCCGCTAGGGAGACTGTCGCCCGCACCCAGGGTGCACCACGGGGAGGTCTTCTGGCACCGCACCCCGTGAACGTGGTGTATGAGGACATTTTGTAGTAGGTATTTTTACATAAGTATTGCACCCGTACGAAGCCGGGGCGGGTTGCTAGTTACTGTCCAAAATATACCTATGCATGTCCACGAGTAAGTGTATCTAGATTAAGAAGATTAATAAATGTCTCTACTCGACAGTTGAGTAAACTAGTGTCAAACGGGTATTTATAGGTTGTCCACTCCAGAACGAGCCTATCGCAGTGAATTATAATTTATGTAATTTATATTTAAATTTTATCTGTTTAATTGTCTGAATATATTGTTTAACTAATATTTTTAGTTTTCAAAGGAATTTAAATGACATTACTTACTGTAATCTGCTTTTCATTGGGGTCTGTTAAGGTTTGAATATAATTAATTGTGTTTAGCAGTTCTAAACTGAATTAATATAGCACCGACTTCCTACTTTTATATGGCTGAACCGGTAAACCACCAAATGGGTCACCTGATGGTAAGCAATCGGCGTCGCCCATGAACACGTGGAACACCAGAGGCATTACAAGTGCGTTCCCGGCCTTTTGGGGATTAGGTGTTTGAGGATCGTTGGGGATTCAGGGATTGGGGAGATTGGGGAAGAGGAGGAGGATAATTATGTATCAGTGGCAGGACAACCTGCCAGTTCAATACTATGAATACCTAGCAATAGTTATTTTTTGGTTACAACTTTTGTTTCTTTTTAGCTTTTACAGTTGTTTTTAAGCCGTCCGGCTCGACCGGAGTCACACGGCCACACAGAAAGCTGACGTGAAACGTCGCTTGCGCTGTGCTTGTGTTGATTGTGCAGACCCGCTGGAAGATCTAAGCACAATACTCGATGACCTCTGTAGAGTATCTCGACAAGTAGGGCTGCGAATGAACATGAACAAGACGAATGTCATGTCAAACGCTCATGTTACGCTAATAAGGATACCTATAGGTCCCGTTTTTAACCTTTGAACACGGAACCCTAGAAAAACTCCAGTTTGATCAATTTATTATAATTATTTAATTATCTTATAACAATTTCATTTTTAACTTTATGCTAGCAATTGCCTAATTTTTAGAAAGACCTTATAATTTCTAAAACAAAACTACGTCATAGTCAGTTTTTTGTTCGATCTACGTCACCCTGCCGCATATACGATATTATCTGTCTGGTCCCATGACGTGGGAGCTACTTGAATTATAATTATTATTTATTAAATTAAATTAAATAATCACAGCATATTATACTAATGTTAAGATCATTGTTGGAATAGTGAAGTGAGTAGCATAAAGAGAGTGAGTAGCAGGACAGGCTGTGCCAGCGCATGCGTGGCGGCGCTGCAGGCGTGTCTGCCGGGGCCGATGCAGGCGGCGTACGCCATGAGGTGCGGCAGCTGGCTCTGCTCGTACAGCCCCGTGAACATGGAGTGGTGCGGCCCGCGCGCAAACACAGCCACGTCGTCTCCACCGTGCGTCTCATCTTCCAGTGGAACGTCCACGTGGGCCTCCCATTCTAGAGTTCCTGTTAATCATATAGGGACCGTAAGCATGGTGAAGTTACTAATTAAACCCCGATCATTCTGGTATATCCACAAGCATCAGTGTGATTGATTAATCGTTTGAATGATGTGTTTGCGATGTGAATGCGATGAAAGAGAGTACATTCAATAAGTTATTTAAAAAATTGCACTATTTTTTTGTAACTATATTTTCATTTACAATGCTCAATAGATAACTTACGGTAATCGCTCTCAGCGGTGACATTAGGGCGCACGCCGTTCACATGCGCACGGAAGCCGGGCCCGTTAGTGTAAGAGAGCGTCATGTAAGGCACTCCTTTTTCGTCCAAGTCTCTGGAAGGGCCGAGGATGTCATGTCCACGTCTCGAGTACCCATTGAAAGCCATGACGTGGGCGTGGTCCGCTGTGACCACAATCAGCGAGTCGTCCTCAGAGAGCAGCTCGGCGGCACGTGCCACAGCCTTATCCATCTCCAGCGTCTCGTCCAGCGCCAGCTCTACGAAGTTGTCGTGGTGCGCGTGATCGATGCGACCACCTTCTACGAACAGGAAGAAGCCCTTCTCGTTTCTACTTAGAGACCGGATTGCTATCTCAGTTAGCTCAGTCAACGTGGGCTCAGTTGTGGCATTAGCCTGCATATTGTACTGAAGATGACTACTTTCGAAAAGTCCCAAAATGTACTCAGGAAGATCATCGTTTAGGCTCATCAGTTGCTCACGATTCCAAATAAACTTATTAGTGACTTTACGATCTTCCTTGTCTTGCAGCCATTCTTCGATAAGGTTTCGGTTGTCTGTTCGGCGCCCAAAATCTCCTTCGTCGTCTTGTACGTCAGTTGGTATAAAGTTTCGTCTTCCTCCGCCAAATATAACCTAAAAAAGCCACCACTATTAAATATATAAAGCCTATCATTACCGTACACGATGTCGTACCTTTTCTTGGAGGGATAGCAGTTTTTTAATACGATAAAGTAAGGCCCTCCAGTAAAGTCTCCATTAATCGATTTCTCGGTCGGATAAAGTACTGTTCGGTATTTTGATTATGAAATTTCTCAGTAACAGTACGGTGTCAGGAAGTAAAATTAGCGTTAAATAAAAGAGAAAGTTGTATTGGTAATCATCCTTAATTCCTATTCGCTTTGACGATAAGAATAAAAAAATGTGGTTTAATTAAAAGAGAGGAAAAACAGAAGAAGAAGAAAAGTGCTAACATTAACAGTGTGCCTACTACCAATCTATACGTTGTAAATTATGTAATACATGTATTGGAACTAATTGTAGGAGACATGATGGAACCGTCTGCCTCGTCGGCCGAGTGGTCGCAATTGCGACTGCCGGGCGAGGGGTCTCGGGTTCGGTTCCCGGGTCGGGCAAAGTATTACTGGGTTTTAAAAAAAATCTCAGTAGTAGCACGGAGTCTTTAATTGTGCCCGGTATATGGCAATAGGCTCACCCCCTATTACATGGGACTCATAACATAAATAGTGAAAAGTGGGTGTGGCATTGTACAGTGGCATAATGTGCACCTCTGCCTACCTCTTCGGGGATAAAAGGCGTAATGTTATGTTATAATGGAACTGTTTGCTTTTCTTTTTAATAACCATTGTTTTTGGTGTAATACTTAATAAATGAATTAAACCTTGAGCTTGTTCCCCGGGTGGTTGTGCACGAGCTGGTGCGCGATGTCGGGGCAGCGGTCCGTGTCGTAGCCATGGTCCTGCACCGCCTGGTTGTGCTCCCAGTCGCGCTCCGCCACCTTGGCGTACACGCCCGCTGGCGACGCGTGGGTGATGCGCGTCGTTGTAACAATACCTAAACACAATGCATCATTGTATGTACATATATTTTGTTTACCCATCTTGCTCCTGGAACTTACAATCTCTGCATTCAACATACCATTACTTCTGTACATACCGCACCGTTAATACCGACACGATGATACAAAAACAGGTTTAGTAATCGCGACTTACAGTATCCAACCGACTAGAGCTGTTATGAGTAGACTCACTGGCGTGCGTATAAGTGTGTGTGTGTGTGTGTAACGGCTCACATCACAAAACAAATAGAATTGAAGTACATAGGTAAATTAAATATACCGGCCTGCAGGCCTGCTCGACCGGAGTGCCCGGCCCGCGCCTCTGCAACACGATAGGCCGTTGTGATAGATTCTACATAAATTAACATTTTAATTGTTTTACTTGCTTATAAGAAAATGTGCGCTACTGCTCAGTACCAGCAGTATAGTGAGAGGGTTAGTATAGCTTGTTCCACTCACCAGCGTCGCGGCCGTCAGCCAGCGCCCAGTCGGCGATGGACTCGACGTGTCTGCTGGCGTCGGTGGACGCCTCGCAGCCTCGTCGCGGGACCTCCGCGTTCACTCCAATAACCCCGTACGTAGTCTTCACTCCACATAAATACGCTGTGGCAGTACACGCCGAGTCTGCTATCTGGGCGTTCACGCAATACGTCTGAAACGTCCATAACACAAGTTATAAGTGTCGTCCCTTTTCAAAGTGAGAATTTTGAAGTTTCATTACTTTCGTAACATATTTCTGTATATAACTTAATGCAATTTAAAAATAATTTCTATAACGCAAATACGCCAATGTTTCGATTGCGTTAACTATGTAGATGTACATGAGGCTGACATCTTCTATTTGTCTATTCTGAGAAGGAATGCTGAAGCAAACTCTTGGTCACAGTCTCTTTTATCGTAAAGTACATACAAATAAATAATAATGAGGAAGAACCGGGCAAGTTGGGTCAGTAGTCATCTTTTGAAATAAGAACTACAACAGTTCTAGCGGACCTGGTGTAACTGACCTGTTCTATTGTCGCATGTACTTATCACATCACATTCAGCTCAGATGTTGCTGAATGGTTCCACGAATAGGGTTACCATACAAAAAATACCAAAAGTCCTGAGAAGAGGCCCGATTGCTATTGTAAAATCCTGAAATTTTGTGACACGACGATTTATTTTCGAATCACTATACCAATAACAATACAACAAATTAATTATTAACTTCAATAAATTAGTGTTAATATGATAATGATTTGATTCTATAATAATTAGTTACTAAGTACCAAAGAGGATTACTTTAAAATGTAGGTAGGTAGTGTATTTTATTAAAAATTATAAAAATCTTGAGATTTTCTAACATATTTGCAAAATTTGCGCAATTTTGAGAATTGTCCAAAAATCGTGAGATATGGTAACCCTACCCACGAACAATAGCACGTACAGTAACATTTGAGTAGGTATACACAAACCATTAAAACTAGGCACTCACACGCCCCCTACACTAACAACGGCGGCCGGAACTAATGTCGCACTGCAAAAAATCTGCGTTTAAATAAACCGACTTCAAAGACTAAAGACAAACGAAAAGTAAAAACTAAAAAGAAAAAAAGCGTATAGCTTACACACCCACTGATAGCTTAGAATTCGGTGCCGTCTTCGGAGGTTTCTGTCTCTGGAGCCCTAACCACCGGTAGCTTATGCCGTGCTTCCCCTACTGACTTTTGTCCTTTTTTATAATGTTAATTAAAATTCTCTATAAAAAGTTATTTATAGAGAATTTTAAATAAATATACGAAAATGTCAAATTGTATTGTTAACTTTATGTTCTAACATGTCAACTTGACCTTTGCGGATGTTACTACCAGCTTGAATATCGTGTAAATAGTAATTCTTTAATTTATAAAATACTTCATTGCAAATAGTTTACCATTTACATTTTTTTATTATGTCGAGGGTTAAATTTTAAATATGACTAGAAATTATAAAAACCAACCTTAGCTAAGCCAACAGTGGGAAATGTTTCGAAATGCATTTTAGCCTCCTCGCCGGTGTCTCCGCGGCGCTGGCCGAGCAGCGTCCGCGCGGCCGCGAGCGTGGGCACGGACATGCCGTCGCCCAGGAACATGACCACGTTGCGCGCTTTCTTGACGCTCTCCTTGTGCGCCAGCCGAGCATTGATCGCTGCCTGCGCTTCTTGGGCCCAGTAATTGGCGGAGGTTTCGGCACGATTCACAACGGCGGCAGCAGCGGCTCGGCTGCCGGGGTCCGCGGGATGGTACCGGTCCCCGCGGACACACGCCGCGACCAGGACGGCCACGAGGCAAGTGAGTAGCGACCTCATAGCGAGCCTTACAACTGAACTAGATACGCTCGAATGACCAGAGCTTTTATGCCAACCGTATTCGTGTAATCTAATCATAAACATAATATTGTACATGATTTAATCAAATACGAGATAGCACTTAAATACCTAATCAAGAAATTTAATCATTATAGTTGTATATGTCGCAGGCGAATTGTATAATCTGCCGTATTACATTACGGCTAGCCGTTTAGTAAACCAGGGGCGTTTTGTAATACAATGACTGAACGATTAGCCGAATTCAATAAGACTGAGTCAAAATCAGCCAAATAGTATTCGGATCTATACGTCAATATAGCTAGCCGTAATGTAACAGACTGCTAATTAGGCCCAATTTATAAAAACAAAAAGTTAATTTAAAAGAAAATGTAATTGAATGACAATACAAGAATCCAAGAAGAGACGATAAAAAAAGTGTCGCAATGTGCACCTCTGCCTACCCCTTCGGGGATAAAAAAGTGTGGCGTTATGTTATAGTTACAAAATATAACACGCGCGGTGCTGCTTCTCGTGGTTTTCAAGAGTAAAAAGAAAACTCAGGTTACTCAGGTGGTTTATACAGCAGGAGGGGAAATCCTCTTGGAGACTCACACCTGCTCACGCATAGGGAGATGTGAGTACTGCCGGCTAAAACTCCTCTTGCTGTGCCGAGTTGCTCCTCTGACATGATTAGAGAATTATTTTGACTTTTTGCAATCTGAATTTTTTGTGCCAATTTTTAATTTTCATAGTACCTAAATACATAATAATATAATAAGTTTATAATAGATATAATATATAAATATAATAATATTGTTGATGCTACTGTCATATAGTATGATTCGAATATATTTACTAAGCGTTCTTCATCTCCTCGTCGGGGTATTGCCATTTTGTACTTGTGTTCTCCTTCTTTCGTCCGTCTTCGCTTTAAGCGCCCTGCCATGCGTAGCATGACATGGGTCATTTATGCAGGCTCAGCGGTCTTCCGTTCCAGGATGGTCTGAACTACGAGCACTCTGCGATGCCCGACGAAGAACCTCGTCACTCGCCACGTCTTTAAGGACCACGAGTGGGTCTCTATTTTTTACGTTTTCGACCTTCAGAGTCTCGCCTACGCTTGCCAACTTTTCTTTTATTCTCTCTCTTCCTTCTTCTGTTCTACAGCCTATCACCACTTTTCTGTCTTTTGTCTTGCGAATCCTGTCTACGGTGATCCACCCCTCCTTTGCTTTGACTGCCTTCCGGATATGGTCAATTATTTCTTCAACTGTTTCCGTTTCGTTTGTCGAAGTGACTACTATGGAATGGAGGGCTGTTTGTTTTTGGGGAGGTCTGACTTTTTGGCCCGCCACTGCGCTAGTAGCTACGCCCAGCGCATGTGCAGCTGCACCAGCTGAGCCAGAAATAACCCAAGCAGCTCCCATGAGTCGGGAGGATGACATTGGGCAATCTGCAGCCACTCCTCCCTCCGAAATGTGGACGGAGGTGGTTAAGCGAGGGAAGGGAAGGAAAGCGGCCTCCAAGCCCGCCCCTGCTACTTCTGCAGCCAAGAGGGCCCCTGCTGTTCCCACAGCAAAAGGGATGAAACTGGCGGGTCCCAAAACGGAGCGGCCATTGCAGCAGCAGGAGGTTGCCCTGTCGAGTCGGTGCAAGGTCGAGTCATCAGGACTGGCCGGCGTGGCCTGGGCACAACCCGTGTGGACTGTCCAGTCACTGCAGCCAAGGCCGTCCTTGTTAAAACTAAGGGGCGGCTCCTGATCGGGTTCAGTTCAGCCGTGGTCCGGGCACTTGAAGAGCGACCCCTACGCTGCTTTAAGTGTTTCGGCATAGGGCACACCCGCACAATGTGTCCGTCCACGGTGGAGAGGGCGGACACCTGCTACCGCTGCGGAAAGCAAGGGCACATGGCGGCATCCTGTGATGCAGTCACGCCGCACTGTGCGGTCTGTGCCGCTAGTGGTCGCCCGGCGAACCACGTGATGGCTGGGAGGAAGTGCAATCCCCCCACCAAGAAGAGTAAAATGCAGGTGCCAAGGCGACCTGCTGCTGCTGCTACCGCCACCGACACACCGGTCGCGGAAGCCGATGAGGGTGATGCGATGATTGAATAATGGGGCCCAGTCATCGCATCCTACAGGCCAACACCAACCACTGCAGAGCGGCCCAAGACCTGCTGGTGCAGTCTATGGCAGATTGGTTGGTTGCCAAGTCGGAGACGGGGGGCAACCCGGCTACCGACGCCCGTGGGCGGGCGCTCGAGGCGTGGGCAGCCTCCTCTGGTCTCTCCCTTCTAAATAGGGGGAGAGTTCAAACATGCGTGCGGCGGCAGGATGGGTCCAAAGTGGACGTCACCTTTGCATCCCCATCGCTAGCCGCGCGTGTGGAGAACTGGCGGGTGGACATGGTGGAGACCTTGTCGGACCACCGATACGTGCGGTTCGAAATCTCCACCCAGAGCCGTCGGGGGAACTCTACATCGTCGGCCCGATCCCCCTTTCCTCGGTGGGCTCTCACCCGCCTAGACCGGGAGGCTGCAAAGGAGGCCGCGTTCCTGCAGGACTGGCTTTCGCCCCCTGCCGTCCTGAATGCAGATGTCGACGTCGCAGCTAGGGCATGTAAAACCGGTTTTCCGGTTTTGCGCAAAACCGGAAATCGGCCAAAATTTTACGATTATTGAAAACCGGTTTTGAGAGCCAAAACCGGAGCTCAGCTCCGGTTTTCCCATTACTAAGTGACAATTAACATTTTGTTTTAATCAAATTTTTTTCAAACACTCTTACAAAAATAATTAATATTGAAGCATTAAATGTATCCGAACCGAACACAGCCTGCATCCACCCATTTTCACGCCTCCCTCCACTACCCCCGCCTGATGCTTAACTAAATGATGTGCATTTTCGTAGTCGATAAAACATATTATCAGCACGTCCGTTTGCATTTCTCTGCATTTTTGAAGAGATGGAGATTCTGAGATCGTTGAGGGCGAATAAAGCTTCACGGGTGCCTACACCAGAATGAAATCCGAATTGGCTGTCTCCCAGTTGTTCGTCACACTTTACTCTTATTCTGTTCTGTATGATGTTTAAGAACACTTTTAGGACATCTTTCATTAGACTCATCATCTGGTACTCTCCATATTTTGTTGCATTTTGTTTTTTGAGTATTGTAATGAACGTAGACTTTAGCCAGTCATGTGGAAGAATGCCAGTTTCGTAAATGTTGTTGAAGAAATTGGTCAAGTACTTCCTCCAATAGCTTGAGAATCTCGATGGGTAATATGGGTATGTTATCTGGTCACGTAATATCTCCGATTACCCATAGAATCCCAAGCGGTCACCGGTGACCGCTCTCCACTGTCCACTATATTATAGACCTTATTTCGAATGCTTAAAGACTACTTTTGTATGAACAAATTTAGGGGATGAATTTCAACGGGTTAAAATAGTTGGACCCGTGTCATCAGTAATTATTTGGATATTTCTTGATGGGTCTGCGAACATCTCCGAGCATGCACCCCGCAGTTGATTATTGATCTCTTTTTTAGTGCAATATGAATCATATTATAATAATATTATTTTGTAGTTTGTCTTCAAAGTTACAAAAATAATGTTTTTTTGGTAATTGTGGCTGGCTGTATTTAATATTTAAAGATGCTACTTGTGTTTTCTATGTTTAAAATATATTATTTTTGATAGCAGACTTAATAGGTTCCAAAGATACCAAAAACTTATTTGTTGTTGATTTGATCTCAGTTAAATAATTTTTATACATTATAAGTTCATTGTTATCTGTACAATTATTATGGTTTGGATGTAAAAGAAGTGAATCACACAATTTGTTTTATTTGTAGACTCAGTGGGTATTTAAAAAAACGGTTTTCTTTTTTAAATTAACTACATTGGATTTTTTTGATAAAACCGGACCTAGCTCCGGTTTTCGGTTTTGGTACCAAAAAAACGATGTTCAAAACCGGTTTTGATGACTTTCCGGTTTTACATGCCCTAGTCGCAGCGTCTCAAATGAGAGGGTCTCTGACCGAAGTGTGCAACTCCAGCATGCCCCGGTCTCGTCGCCCACCTCCAAACCGCGCTGTGTATTGGTGGTCGGAGGAGTTGGCGCAACTGCGGGCAGCGTGCATGGCGGCTAAACGCCAATTCACGCGGAGCCGTCGTCGGCGGCGCCGAGACGAAGCTAACGAGGACCGTCTGTACGAAGCGTACGTGGCGGCAAAGACGGCCCTCAAGTCAGCTATCGGTGCCGCCAAAGACTCAGCGAGAGCCGAGCTGCTGGAGACACTCGACGGCGATCCATTCGGGAGACCGTACAAGGCGGCGCGCAACAAATTGCGCCCCTCAGGTCCCCCGGTGACAGAGACCCTCGAGCCTTCGCTGCTGGATGAGGTGGTGCGTTCCCTGTTTCCGCGCAGGAACGCGGAGTTCTCCCCTCCAGCGATGAACCCCCCTCGGGGGAGGGCCCTAGCGAAAGAGGAGGAACAGGCTCCCCCTGTCACGGACAGCGAGATCCACACGGCGTTGGTCCGCCTCCGGGCAAAGAAAACTGCCCCCTGCCCAGACGGCGTCCCTGCAAGGGTGGTGGCCATCGCTACCTCCCAAATGGAGGAACGGTTTCGGGACCTCTTCAGCGCGTGTCTCGCAACGGGGCGGTTCCCGAAACCTTGGAAGGAGGGGCAGTTGTGCCTGCTTCGTAAGCAGGGACGCCCAGCGGACTCCCCCTCGGCATACCGGCCCATCGTTCTGCTCGATGAGGTCGGCAAAATGTTCGAGGGGATCATCGCTGCTCGCCTCAACCGCCATTTGGCATGTGTGGGGCCGGATTTGTCAGACGCCCAGTACGGCTTTCGGGCTCAGCGGTCGACCGTGGACGCCTTAACCCGCCTCAAGGGCCAGGTTCAGGAGGCCGTAGAAGAAGGGGAAGGACTGTTGGCTGTGTCGTTCGACATAGCCAACGCATTCAACTCCGTCCCCCATTCCACCATC